GGGTCAATTCAATTTGAAAAGCAAGTTACTAATGCAAACAATATGTTTGGTCACAATGAAATAATGATTTAAGGCTTATTTGGTTGCCACAAGATATTATAATTTATAAAGCGTTGTTCCCATCTTTACTAATTATACAGGAGAAAATTAAATTATTACATTTTAATGCTAAGCATAGAAGAAAGATGGGTTGTAATGTCCCCATCCAAACTAATAGGTAAGGGATAATTGACGCTCTGTCAGCAAACGCTTCAGTTTGCCAGTGCTTTTCAAACTTTTCAGCAGCAAGTTTGACATTAACTATTTGCAGAAATGGGACAATTTAAAGAGCTTAGAAAGAAATTGAAATTTGCAGTAGGTGAAATGATTGAAGTCAGTAAAAATGAAGGCTTTCATGTCCAAATTTAAAATGAGTAATAATGGTGAAATAAATAAAAAGCAGGGTGGAAAATGAGGAGTAGTTAATGCAGTTATGCGGTCAGGTCTAATCGATTTTGATAATTGCAATTTTTAAATTTTAGCTGCTGTAGTGGCAGCTGAGGCAGGTCTCAGTCCTGTACAGTCTGCGACTGGGGTGACAGATGGAGACTTGGGGAAGTGGGAGCGCAGGCAGATTAAGCGAGGTGTATTTATTCTACATTTTTAGGATTTAAGAGTCGGATATGCAGCATTATTATTATTATTATTTAAGGTGATCGTAACAATATGGTAAGAAAATAGTGGGATATGCAGCTTTTATGTGCAATTTGTATTTTAATATTTATCAGCTTAATTTTTCAGATTTGATACAGGTTGACTCATCAGTCATCAACCCATGAATGACCATCAAGTCTAAATTGATTTTAAATGGATCATCCAACACAAAGTTGACACAATTTTAATATGGATTGTTACGTGTCGGGTTTGAATTAATAGGTTGAACGTAGGTCAGGTTCGGTTTGAAAATTCTATCTGTAGGTCAAGACAATTATTAATAGATTGAACGTCGGTCGGGTTCGGTTTGAAAATTCTATCTGTATAAAATTCAGGTCAGGACAATATTGAGTCAGGCTGAATACCAACAATCAATACCAACAAATTTGTCAAAATTGACCCCCTCACCCTACCCCCCGCGCCCGATTCATCTTCCTCAAATATTTAATGGATTCTTCTTGACAGTGAATAAATAAGGTTTAATATGCAATGGATGATGTAGTGTTTTATCACCAATAGATATGCTTTTTTTTAACCTTCCTAATCAATTTCTTTCTTTTTTTAATCATCTTGAAATATTTATGATTGTCTGTGATCCCTTTGATGATTATATCTGATTCTCTTATGTAAGGAAAACTTCCAACTGTGTCATAATGATCAAAGCATCTATTTTTAAACCTAAGCTTATTTAGATATATGGACATGAAGTCCAATTTAGGGCGCTTTTGGGGTAGCTTATTTAGAACAACTTATTTTTTATTGTGGTCGGGTAGCAGCTTCGGTTCCCGGAATTGCCATTGACGAGCTATGCGAGAAGAGATCTGAAAGGGGATTCCTCGTGAAGGAGCCGCAGCTTCGGTTTGTGGTGAAGAGGGGTGCGACAGGGATAAGTATATTAATTAATATGGATTGTGGTCTCATCATTCGTTATAAATTTGAGAACACTAATATTATTACTTTTATTTTTGTTTATATTTTTATTTGAAATAAAATATATTTATAAGCATTTAAATATTATTTTGATGTTTTTTTGAAAAATTAACTTATATTAAAAGTAAAAAATAAAAACACTTTAAAAATGCATCAAATAAATATATTCTTATAAAAGAATGCAAAAATAAAAATAAAAAAATAGAAATTGTATCAAAGAAGCCCTAAATTTACTAGATTAGCCATGCTATTATTAAATAAATAATTAAGAAAGGTAAATGTTTTGCATCAAAAAATTTATTATATTAAATCTAAGTATTTATTTGTACAAATATCTTATGTGTTGGGTCTGATATTGACTGATAAGATATAGATATTAGAATATTAGTTATTGTGTACACGCAATCAAATATCTCTCTCTCTCTCTCTCTCTCTCTCTCTCTCTCTCTATATATATAT